CCCCCCCCCCCCCCCCCCCCCCGATTTTTCAATGCATGCGGAATATTTCTGATGGGGCTTTTAACAAGAGCGGCTTGCTAATGAATATATTCATAAATATATTTTGACCGCGCTCTCAAATCTACTGCGCTTATGGCTGTGGCTGATTAACAAATCCATTTGATCCAGAAAGTGCTGGTTTTATATAATTGCTTCAAATTCCCCCCCTTTTTTCTCCTTTGGAGGGACGGCTCAGAATATTGCAAATTTAGCATTTAGCCGACCCCATCTTCAAAAGGGTTATGGCCAACTCCTCCAGTCCCTTGGGACCTGATCTAACCCAGAGGTTAGGCTGCCAGACCTGGGAAATTCCTGTATTGTATGCAGAAGAAATTGAAGTAATTAGCTTGAACTCTGCACGTCTGAATCCGGTTGTTCGTACCTGACCAACGCAGAGGAAAAGTTGCCCAGTCAGTTTCATTTCCCTGTTAACTGTCACCGTTCAAAGTTCCCCCTCAAGTCTGTAGGAAACTTCCTGCTTTAACGTGTATTTCTGGTTTCACTGCAATTGCTGAACGATAACGTTTCTTTCCCCCCCCCCCCTCCATGCAAACATTTGCAAAATGCGACATATTTTTTCTTCTTTCTCCGATGAGCAGAATTGATCAAGAACTTAATGGGAAACAGGAGCAGAAGTCTGAACAGTAAAAAAAAAGAAAAGTATTTCTGAATTCAAGCCGAGAGTGAAGAACACGCTGGGAGATCCGAAGTCCTGAAGAAGACTTCTGCGTCTGGACTTGGCCTGTTGAATGAGGCACTGCCGAGTGGTGGTTCGCAGTCCCGGGGGATGCCGACACTTCGTAGTTGCCTTTATTATAACTTTCACGCGGCCGTGTCACAAAGGCACCCTAGGAGGGGCAGCCATTGTTATATCGCGATGCTTATTCAGTGAGTATTTATATATGCTTCAACGTTAAGGGGAGAGATAATATATATATATATATTTTTATGACTCTTCAACGCATATTTTATAATTTTCATCCGAGAAAAACCTCTTGAGACGCACTAGCCCGCTGACGGCGGTTGTCGTTTATTTAGGAATAAAATGCATGAGAATTTCTTATATATGGGGAAATGCTTCTTGGCTAAAGAAGAGAGAAATGTAACTTTGGTTATCTGCTACGCTGGCAAGATCCTTTTGCTATTTCCACTGTGCTTCTTCACCTTGGAGTTGGGTGTCCTCAGCACAAACTCGATTCAGCCCAAGCCCTTCTGTGTTGAAACGTTGAGGTTTCAGCTCCCTCGCCTCTGAACAGAAAAATCCGGGAATTGAGAATACGACTCCTGTTCGAATGTTGGAGGCTGTCTAGCTCTGGATGCCCAGGGAGTGATTTATTGGGGAATTTGGGAGACATTCCAGAGCCGAATGTTGGTGGCCTCCCAGCCGGTCTTCTCCTGTCTACCATGGAGGAGATCTCAGTCCAGCTTCTGATGGGCCTTAACTTACCACAATGTGCAGGGGAGTTGCAGGACATGGTATCAGGATGTGGCACGCAAGAGTAGAGAAAGTGTAGGGACAAGGACAGCTTAGCCTACGGAGGCTGCTCTCAAGCCCACCCCGCGTGCGACGCCAAGGTGGAAGAACAATGTTAGGTGGTGATTTTCATACTTTGGAAAGCAAGGCTCTTGGAACGGCACTTTCCACCAGCACTAGCTTCACTTTATGCACTTTTTTTTAATTAAAAAAAGGAGTCTCTGTGTGTAACTGCGTGTTTGTGTTGCATGTTTTGCCTATTTTAATGGCTGCTTTAAGAGTGGCCTTCTCAGTCGGATGCACTAATTCCTAGCGGGGTAATCAACAAAGCCATCGTGGATTGTAGCAGAAATGTTAAAAGGTTTTTGGAAAGCTTGGGCATCATCGCTCTTATTTTCAATTTGTATTTAAGATTTGTGCCTGTTGTTAGCAACGCAGCGTTTTCTTGTTCCCAGTGTTCACGGAGGGGGAAATAACTGCCTGTGTGTCTGTTCATAACCCAGTCAATAAAATGTTTTTAAATAAAGAAAGGCTTTAACCGGGTATTTATGTCATAAATGCTTAAGTGTATTTATTTTAAGATGGGGAAAATCCTGTTTGTCTTGCTGAACAAACCCAAATCTTCAC